TCATCTACTTCAACTACACAAGTTGGGTACATATGGTCTCAACTTTTGTTTTACAGGAACTCTCAAGTTTGTAACTCATCACCAGGTTGAAGCCTGTAGCAACAAGAAACAGTAAGAGCAGTTCTAGGGGAAACGTGCAAAGGCAGGCAGAGGTAGGTTTTCACTTCAGCTGCACCATGTGAGAGCATAAACCAAAGATCTCACCTTCCTTATTGATAGTGAGGGGAATGTTGTGGACTGTCTGAAGCTTCACACAGGAGTTTGTCAGCATCTGGAGCTCCACTGATGTGAGTGAGAAGCTTTTAAAGCCTGCCAAGGAGATTCAAAGAGGGAGGAATTAAAATTCAAAGCAGAGGCTGGATACATGGGATAGCTGCTCCCTGGGCAATGCTCAGCAGCTGTACCGTGGTGCTCAGGTCTGTACTGCTGCTGCAGCCCAGCTCTGCTGAGGACATGTTTGCTTCCTCTTTGGAGTAAAAAGTCTCAGGATAGGATAGTTCACAGGAAACAAAGCCAAAAAAACGCCCATGCCAAAAAAGTAAACAAGTTTCTTTGGACTGGAGCCAGGTAAAAGAATGCAGCTGTTCCCTCTACCTGGACCTGCACAGAGCTCTGATCTGTACAGCAAATGGGAGAATCCCTCCACACGCTTACCGAGTGCTCTCTCTACACGTTCCCTACATGTTGCTGCAAGCAAAAGTCCCCCAAACACGCTCAGATGTGCGGAGACAGAAGACATCCATGTTGTGCTTCCATGTGGACTTGAAGCACATCTCTCTTTTTGCAGGGAACCCCTCCCCACACCTCATCCTCTGGACTCCTGCTCTCTAATAAGATCACAGGATTTGTACCAATGCCCAGCTGAGGGACACTCACATTTCTTCTGCTGCTCCCGGATGTTCTCCCTCCACTCTGCCCTTTCATAGTCCGATGAAATGAGGAACGTGTAACTCTACCCAGGAAAAGAGAAGAAAATGGGGTATGCGTTAGTCTGACCGACCCCAGAGAGCAGACCTGCCCACCTCCCACCCTCTTCCAGTGGCAACTGTTGGATGTACAGCCCTGATAGCACTCCTGCCAGTCGCCCCACAGCACAGCTTCGTCAGTGACAGGCAAGACTCTGGCAATGTGCCTTCTCAGCAACATGCCAGCAGTTCCAACACGGCCTCCTGCAGTCAGGGCTTTCACAGAGCTCCACCCTGAAAACAGCAGCTGCATCCCTGGCAGCATGAGGTCCTATGACAGCTCTGCTCCTACAACAGCTGCACCAGGGAACCCAAGAGCCTCTAACCACAGGCCTAGGCACTGATGCAAGCTGATGGCAGCATGAGGTCCTATGACAGCTCTGCTCCTACAACAGCTGCACCAGGGAACCCAAGAGCCTCTACACCATAGGCCTAGGCACTGACGCAAGCTGAGGAAGCAGTGGCCAGCTTGTGAGTGTTCACTGAGCAGTAACAGGATCTTGTGAGAATCCTTTGCCACGTGCATGGAAAGGCCATGGTGACAGGTAACAGTGCTGCCAGAGCAGGGGATACCTCTGACAGATTAACATCCCACAGCGCTAAAGGAGATTGTTCCCAAACACGCAGCATCCCTGGTGCCCAGGGCAGCCTGCAGGAGCCAGCCAAGCGCACTAAGCCTTGAACTTGAAGGGAGTCTAGAAGGCAGCTGCTGCACAGCTTTATCTCAGGTGAAGAGACACGTTGCTATTGCTCTGCCAGGGCAGGTGCTGGGGTTAGGGATTAATTTCTAACACTATTTTTTAAATGCCAACATTGCATACAAATCAGTCATAGCCTTACAAGATGTCATCATATCCTTTGGTGGAGCAAGGGTTAGGTGTCTGCAGTGCTTTCAGGACAAACAGCAGAGGGCATGAAAACCTCCTTGTACAACAGCGTATAGGAACACAGACACACTCCCCTGCCCCACCTTGAACTCTGACATGTACACTGAGGGAGACCAGAACTGCCGCTCACCTTGCCATTGCGATTGTGTACCCGGAAGGCCATGTTGGGAGACATCAGCAATAGGAGGGACTCCTGCTCCGAGAGCTTTTTTTTCAACCTCTCAATGACCTTGCTGCCCTTATTGGCCCTCTGAAGGGTGAGGGAGAGAAGGAGACAGAAGATACATTACCCTCTAATGTCTGCCCCCATGTACACCAACAGACATTTTAAGGTCATAGAAACCCAGAATCATACAATGGTTTGGGTTGGAAAGGACCTTAACGATTATCTAGTTCCACCCCCGCACCATAACTGGTGTTCTCCTTATATTTGCTGGTGCTTTGACACCAGTGAAGTCAGAAAAAGCTTCCAAAGCATAAATGAGCCTGCAACAATTCAGAAGTACATGGCTTCTGACCAAAATCACTTGCAGGATGATACTTTAACAGCCATAAATTGGCATGCCACACTCCCAGTGCTTCTCGCGTCCACAGCACAAGAGCCTCATCCTCCACATGGATGCGCAGGGATGTCACAGGCAGTCACGTGCAATCAGAGGAGCTACTGGATACAACTACAGGGTCTTCTTGTTTCTGCCTCCTCACAGGGCACCATCATTCAGGCTGTGCAACAAGGGACTGCAGAGTGTCTGGATATCACTGGTAACAGAGCCGCACCACAAGCCTCTGCTAACAGCCTGTTTTAGGGTGACTCCGCACGCTGTGCAGCTCTGGGAATGCTGCTTCTATCAGCACCTCATCTCAGCACAGGCACTGAGTCTGGACTTGGCATGGAGTACTCAACTCCTTTTACCTTTTCACGCTGGATGTCATTCTTGATCTGGGATATCTTAATCTTCATGGCATCCAGTTCCTCATCCGGTACCAGTGGGATATTGGGCACTGCCTCAGACTCATCCACCATTTGGAAGCTAAGGTCAGTGAGCGGGATGTACCATTTGCAGTCATACTGCTGGCTTTTTCTGAAAGACAGAAGGTACAAACCTTTTAGTATTACCAGTGTTTGGCAACACCCATTTCCCCTTCCCACAAATCCTTCCCCACTATAGTGGGTAAGATACAGAAATGGGCACAACTTCACTGTGACTTCCATCTGGACTGGAGAAAGTCCAGTAAAGGGCTGCTTTCCAGCAAGAAAGCCTAGAAGGACCAACAGCCAGTATACCACATAACAAGGCAACTTGCTTTGTAATCTAGTTCTTTTTTATCCTAAGAAACCACAAAGATCTTTTACAAACCCTTTCAGTCCTGCGTGCTCTCTCTCTGAAGCCCCCTTAGACACAAAGGTCAAAAGCCATGCCATGCCTCTAACTTGTCTGCTACCTGTGGTGTAAACCCAGGTCTCTCTTGCCTGAGCTGGGAGGGCCAAGTGGGGTGGATGAGCCAATATGTATAAACCTCTGTGTAATCCAACCAGAAGAGAGAAACTACAGCCCCTGACTGCCATTCTCCAGTGCTTTGACCAGAATAACCAGTTCACTTTTAAAATGTTTCATGGGATTTATTCCCTCTCCACCTCTCTTGTCAGGAACATCCACTATTAAGAATGACCCACTCTTCTTAAGGGTCATTCCTCACAAGCATATGCTTCAAAAGGGCCAGGGACAATTTGTTGCTTATGGAGGGCAAGAAGATGAGAGGGGTATCTCCTAGAGCAGAACATCCACCAAATGAAAAGAAGCCCTGTTTGAGGCAGGCACGTTGGTAAAGCTTACTCCCCCCTCATTTATGAAAAATGTCAACAGAACTGCTTGTATAGCTGCACTTTGCAGTTGACCCATAGTCTATTTATTGTACCTTTTCCATTTTTCTGCAAAATTGTTAATTGGTTGTAGCTGCAAGGCCAAAATTAATAACCTTACTAACAAAAGAAAGTAAAGAATGTCACCTATTAAAAAAAAAGGGGAGGTAGAAAAATGAATGACATTTGTGCAGAATACCAGAAGCTACAGCATATGCTATTTTCCTAGGAAGGCTCAGAGCAGGGAGGGGGAGGAATTAACCTTTCCTGAGGGATCAGGACTTGGCCAAGGTCTCATATAATAGACAGCACTACCTTGATGATCACTCCTTGTCTAACGACATCTTAGGGGTTATGGTTATCCAGGTCTAGGGTATTCACGTTCAACTAAAATTGCTGTCTAAACCCAGGATTCTGCTGAAGCTGAGATGCAAAGCACATAGTCCAGAAGGAAAACCTCACCCTCCAATCTGCTTCTTGAGCTTGGCACACAGGAACAGATCAGTAAAAAGAAAGACATGACGTAGTTTGCGGGCCCCCTCAACCAGCTCCACCATGAAACTGTCCTTCAGGAGCTGCCGGTGCTGGTGATAAAACAGAAAAAAATGTTTTAGTTAGTGCACTGTGAGCCCCAGATTTGGCACTGGGGCAACATTTTCCTTAGATATGGCTCCTAGCAAAGCCAATTCAGTAAATTAGTCTAATTCAGAAAAAATAAAACAGGCTATTAAATGCTCCTTGCTGCAAGCTCTGCTCCTTGCTGCTGCCCTCTCTCCCAGGGGCAGAAATGGCCATGCATCTCCTTTCTTATCTGGTTCTGGGTCAGACTTTAGGCTTCTCTCCATCACCTGTCTCTGAGCCCAAGTGTAATTTATCATGAGTCACTGCCCAGCTTCTGCACACCCAAGGGCCAGAACCACTGACAGCACATCATCCCCTCAGAAACCAGCAGAGAGCAGCAAACACCACTTTTCTCAGGAGTCACTTACCCAGCCACTGAACTCCTTAAGCTACCCCACCAGAGAGAGAAAGAGGAGCCAACACCCCCACCAGCACCTCTGCTCCCCATTAACAGCAGTAGTTTGTCAGCATTAACAGCTGAACGTCACTGCTGCTTCTTTATTACAAGTGCTGTTAAGGGATGATTCCTGAATAATGTGTATCTAGCAAACTTCTCACTAGTCCCATATTAGCCTGGGTTTAAATAGGACCATCCAGACTTGTCCCCACCCCCTGCCTATTTAAGTTGTTTTATACATCACATAAAAATTCCCCAAATCTAGAAGATACAAAAAAGCTGCACAACCCTGATACTTTTATTCCTGCTTCCAGTTCCAGGGAGCTTTACAACCCCCTAAATAAGAGGCACACATTGGTAGGCAGACGCATCTCTCTCCTCATTCCCTTATGGGGACTCTATAGTTGAAAGACAAAAAGGCTGGAGCCCTGGCACTGGGACACAGGGCTGTGTGCTGTTACCAGTGACCAAGCTGGGAGTTTCAAGCCTTGCTCTATGCTCAGGCCTTCTGCTCTGATGACAGGATCAACAGGAATCTGAGCGCACATCTGGAACAGATACATCCCACTGATTTTCAAACAGAAGTCAGGGTTATCAAACTTTGGGCAAATTTTGTTCCCAACAGTATGTGTAACTGTCAGTGCTGCCTTGTTTCACAGCCAGTACAAGCAGGAACCATCAGCTTCTCCACACAGGTATGCTAAGGTGCTTTTTTCCTGACCTGTACTATTTCCTTGCTATCCCAGCTAGGAGGATGCTCCCTTGACGCCAATGAGTGACATGTTACATACACCATACACACCCAGACAGCACCGTGGCTGGGGACAGGAGAGATCTGCTCACACTGTCCAGCACTAACCAACATCCCCCCCTCGCTGTCTCACCCTTCTCCAGGCCCATGCTCAGGACTTGCCAGTACCACTCCTGACCTGCAGCATCTCTGTGATCCCCACGCTGGCAAATGCACACATCAAAACTGTCCAAGAAGTGGCTGTGGTCACCTGTGCAGCAGCATGCACCAGGAAAGCAGTTAACCTGAGCAAGGTCAGGACGTCCAAACCAGAACTCATGCCTTATTTTCACATGGGTTTTGTCTGCTGCGTGACTTAACAAGCCCTGAACAAATTTACTGCAGAGGGTGTGGGAGTGCAAACCCCCGCACTGCCTCTCCTTCCGCCTACCATCCTTCCCATCTTGGCTCTCCAAAATGAAAACAAACCACATCAGTCCTGAGCCCAGCAGGCATCATGGCAAGGAACGCAAGGCAGAGAAATGCCCTTGCAGACATAATGCTTGTTTCCACACTCTATCCTATAGCACCCCAAACTTCCTGACATGGACTGAGAGCCTGCATTTTCCTGTCTGCAGCTGCACTAGCACCACAGCTAGTTGTTAAAGCACAGATACCAGTGTTAGCATCTCATCTTGGGGCTGCCCACCATTATACAAAGGTCCTGGAAATCTGTGAGCAGCAGGCTGCAACTTTCCCATAGCGCCAGGCAGCAAGGCTGCACCATCTCTGGGCAGGAGTCTGTGAAGATTTGGTATCCAGCAGTGATTCAGGCTCAGAAAGGCTCATACATATGTTAATGTTTATTTTTAGGTGGGCGTGATCCTCCTGGCTTCTCCTCGGTGGTTTTGGAGAGAACGCCTGCTTGCATTAACGTCTCTGCTCCTGATGTGCACTTGTGCATGCCTCCCCCTTCTGCCTGGTGAACAAACCCCAGGTAACAAACTAGAAACACTGAGCTTTAAAAATAAATTTTAAAAAAGGAGGAGGTACATTGTCAGTAGCAAAAACAATTCCACAGCTGCAAAGAATTTCATTTGGGAGCAATAGTGAAGCAGGGAAAGACATTTTCTGAGCAAGCCAAAACCCTGATCTCAGGTTTCTAGATCTGATGCATATTAATTATGCTGCAAATCAGCTCAGCTCCTCCGGGGCAATGAGAATAGCTGCTTGTTGCCAGCTCAACCTCTGCTCATTGTTTGTAGGTGCAAAGAGGTTCTCAAAGCTCACTCATTTCTGCTACCCAGCGGGATGTGGCACTGTCCCTTCTCTACTTAGCAACGACATGGCACGGTCCTGACCTGGCCTTCTGTCCCCCTCTGTCAGGCACTGTCAGTGTCTGAGATCAGCTGAGACCCCAGCCCAGCACCCTGCCAAGAGAATTCCTAGCTGAAAAATACCCCAGGCTGATCCAGAGCACAGACTCAGCACCCCATCCTGGGAAGATGTCTCTGGTGGCAGAGACGGGCCAACAACATGACCAGCAATGTGTTTCTTCACAGGCAGTGGAGGGCAGAGGCCCATGAAGCTGTTGCAGGACTGTGAAGGACTACTGCTCAGCCCTAGATCAGTGCCCTGGTTTCAGCAGCATTCCAGTACATCATCTAGACCAGAGTATTTTGAAGACAAACATGTCCTCAAGTGAAGGGAAGCCCATACAGAGGCACCAGTGACTGGAAAACTTTTTGCCAGGCCTCCATAAAGGAAAAAAAGAATGCCCCATCAGTCTTACCCCTGCGGCGAGGCCACAGACCTTCCCATATGGCCTGCCTAGTCCAAGCAGGCCACCCCTTCTCCTGCCTTCTGAAGCTGCACCTAACCTGGTGCTGCAGTTCTTGGCTATCACCATCCAACCAGCCATGCTCTCTGTCCCATATCTCCCCAAAACCCAAGCAGAAAGCTTGCCAAACAGGGGTGCGATTCAAGAACCTTCATACTTTCCATCTGGGACTGAGGTACCACTCGTTGCACTGAGTTTATTTTGGCTAGCACTCCTGGGTACAAACTACCCTGACTGACAAGACACAGTGCTACCATGAGGCAGCAAAAAGTCTTTGGCAGCATTATCTCCCAGAAAGAGAGCTGGGTGGGAAGAAGACAAGGCTTTATTTCCTCAGCTTGACTGGAACAGAAGTAAAGAGTTGAAAGGGATGTATTCCAGTCACCCACTGAGAGGAAAACACTCAGCTTCCCAGACCTTGCATTCTTTTCTCGGTCATGAGCTAGCTGGGAAGGTCTCCCTTCAGTGAGCAGCAGGGATGCACTGCCACAGAAGCAGCCAAGGATCTCAGGAGGAGAGCACAGGAGAAAAGGTTTGGGGATCAAGTTGGGAAATCTCTCCTCAGAGGGGTGTGGAGTTTGGTATTAGATCTAACTACCAGCTTCTCTAGGAAAACAGGACTTTTGTTGGGGCTGGGCACAACAGGCATGCCCCAGGCTGCTCAGCATCAGTGGAGCAGAGGAGGAGCGCTTCCAGCAAACGGTCACATTCTTTGTTGCAAATGATTCATCTCACTGGGAGGGTTCAACAGGTCAGAGGGAAACAATCAAAGGATTTCCCAACTGGCTTACCAGATACCTGCCAAACCCCGCAGGGAGGGAGCCCAGGGTGCCTTCCTGGACCTCCTGACATGAGTCAGCTCACCCTACCCCCTCCCCGGGGGAGCCAGCAGCCCCCTCTTTCACAGACAGCCCCAAGACTGTCAGGTGTCAGGAGCTCAGCTCAGCTACAGGAAGATGTTCCAGGAGGCCTGAGGGAAAACTTCCTATATTGTATCACAATGGAGTGAATTAGGACCATCTTTAATCTCCCAAACAGGGCCTGGGCAGACTGTTACCTTCAGAAGCTCTTGTAAAGCTCCTGTACCGGTGCAGTATAAATCCTAAATCTCTTTTCTAGGCCTTGCTTTCCTTTGCATATTTTCACCTGCTTATTCTCCCACCTACCTCAGAGCTCCAGACAAAGGAGCTCTCCCTGAACATCTTTCCATGCTTGGATATCCTCTTCGGATTGCCTGTTGCTGTCCTCCTCTTCTTACCTCTGTCAGTGAGCATCTCCCCCTCCTCTGCTACCTACCTCACGACTACCTGTATGCTCATCTATTCATCCTACAGTGTTTTTGTGCTGTTTGCATACGATAAATCCTGCTGCTGTCACGTACTGTTTAACTCCAGGAAGCATGGCAGGAGACCAGCTTGTCTGAGATATATTACAAGAAGTGGTATTTAAAAAATCTACTCATCCAGAACCACAGCTGTACAAAAGGCCGTCTCCTCACTTGTGTGCCGAGGAAAGAGCTCATCCGATGTGGTGACAGCAGAGCCCTGCAGCGTGCGTGGGTGAGAGCCCCAGGAAGGACTGGAACATGTGTGATGCAGGAGGAGGAGGGTAAGAGCAGGAGATGGGTATTGGCATATGTCAGTGAGGAAGAGGTGGTTTGGCTTTCTGCAGAGCGTAGGAAGAAAATGATTCCTCGTGTGTGTGTGCATGTGTTGCAAGACGAGCATTGCAGAATAAAGGGATGCTCTGCGTAGGGAGCTAAACTGGTTGCTCTTTGAGCATTTTAATAGCATTTTGTTTTGCTTTCCAAAGCTTCTGTCACCAGGAGTTCTCTAACTCCAACTGTAAGACAGAGTGTGAAGCATCCAAGATCATTTTTGATTGCTCTGTTGCCAACATCTGCCCAAGGCCTCCAGAAGCAGTAGGCACCAGGCCTCAAGCTGTGCATGGTTGCCTGTGTCTAAGCTTAGCTTCCAGCTTTTCAAAGGCTTTAGTCTGCACTTCTGCTCCTTTGTCCTTTCCCTTCCCTAGCGCACTTGGTCTCTACCAAGTTAAACAGAAGCCTAAGGCAATGATGCTCAGTCCTTTGACTGCAGTTTAAAATCACATTTAGAAACACAGTAGAGCAGCTTGCCAAACAGCCTTTTCTCTCCAGCGTGAGGGAAAAGGTGCGCAGTAGCATAAGCTGATCCAACATGTGGTCTAGTAGGCTTGATCCCAGAAGGAACTGCCCATCAGCACTCTTGTGTCTGGACTGGTGCTGAGACCAGACACCAAGCCACTCAGCTAACGGAGCGACCCAAAACTCAAAAAGGCTTTGTTTTTAGGCAGCTCCATTCCTCCATGCCACTGTGGGATCACGCAAATACCAGTGTGAACACTTCAGAGAGGGTGTGACCGCACAGCCAGGGGCAAGGCAGAATGGCAGCCACCACCATCCAGGTTGGTCTGAACTGCACTGAAACAACACCCTGCAAAGAGCATTGGATGAGCAGCAGTCAAGAAAGAAATCATCATCTCCCCAAAGAACTCTGATTTTTTTGCAGTTTCATTAATTCCTGCTTTACAAGAATGGTCTGAATTAGCTGGAAACACAAGCCTTTACTTCCAGCAGGGAAAGACGACACAAGCTCTACAGTCATTTGCATCTAGGCTTAGCTGAGAAAAACCATGCAGTCCATATAACTTCTCTGTTAATAAGACTAGAAAGGCTATTACTCCCTTCCTTCTGGCACAAAATAGTGGCACATCCTTCACCTCAAAGCATTCGTTTTCCTGCTTCCCCAAGCGACCATCCCACCCCCAGTAGAACCTTAAACAGGTTGCCTATGGAAGCCAAGAGAATAGAGGTAAAGAAGGATCAGCAGTAAGCAAATAAGATGCCTGCTCCTTGGTCCTAAGGAGTGGAAGATTCTCCACCGCTCGCATTCTGAGTCTGAAGGTACAGTGCTACTCAGACCCTCTTCCCCTCCATGCATTTGTTGGGTTATTTTAGGGGGGTGGAAAAGTGGGTATCTGCAGATAATCTATCAAAAAACCTAAAAAAGGTAAAACCACAAAAGTAGAAAGATGCAAAGAAGAGGGAGCAAGAGAATGTAGCAGATCAGTCTAAACGGAAACAGACCCAAAAGCCTTGGCTTCCCAGTGTTGCCAGGCTAGGGCTCTCCTGGCTGCTCTGTACCACAGTCCTCAGCAAACCACAAAGCAGAGAAGACTAGCTACAGTCACAGCCTGGCAGGCAGCAAGGACCAAACTATGTGTTCACAGGCTTAACCCACCAATACTGCCTTCCCTGCTGTAGCCCCCCTTTTGTCTTTCTGGTGAGTGGTTTTACCCCTTTGTTCCCATCTCCTTGCACTACCTGCAATACTCATTCAGCCCAGCAAATTAAACGAGGTCCACACGTCACAGAAAACTTTCAGTTAATATGCATAAGTCTAGAATTAGAAAAAGGCCTACTGAGTCAAGCAGAACCAGGGGGCTGGTGTGCAGGAAGGACACCTGACATCACACAGGAAGACAGCAGCCAGGTCAGACTGTGCCGATGCTCCCGCAGCAGGGAATCATCTTTTGTAAAAGGGAGGAATACTGTGCTGATGAGCCTGTACTCTCCTGACCTGCACTCCTCTCCTTAGCAGCCTGTCACTAGGGAGATTAACCACTGGCTGCTTTCCCCAGTTCAAAGCAATCCTGAAAAAAAGAGCTGAAGCAAGATGCTGGCAAAGGAGATTTGACTCCTCCCAATGACACACTCAAAGGGGAAAAATATTCCACATAAAAGGCAAGGACTGGGAAAAAAAGATAACTGAGATCAGCACCTAAGCAATACATGAGGGAAAGGGCTGCTTTCCCTCCTTTCTTTCCACCAAGGAAATTTCAATGGGAGGAAGACAAATAATGAAAAAAGCCATCAAAGCAAGCTGGCGATTCATTAAAATAAAAAAATGCATTATGCATTGAGAGCAGTCAATTAGGAGATGCAAACTGCACACTGTCCTGTCACCCTAGGGGAAGCACAAGCAAGGCGAGTGGGAGGAAAGGATAAGTAGAAAAGGAAAGATTTACAGGCGTAAACAAAACCCAGCTATGACCCCAAACTGAGTAGCTTGTAGGAAGAAGCAGCCATCACTAACCCACACAGAATAGCTGGGAGCAGACTTGTGTCTCTGGATTACTATGCAGGGAGTGAATATACCTACTCTCTAAATACAGAGTGGTGTCAACCGGGGCATTACCGCTTTGAAAATAGTGGGATACTGGTGCAAAATGACTAAAGAAAGCATCCACCATCATATACCCAGGGCGGATGGCAAACTCGGGGAAGCATCAGAAGAAAGTCCTTTCCTTCCCTGGGCTCAGTGCAAGCTGTGTGCAGTGAGGGAGAGCACAAAGGGTTCCCGGTCCCCTGCAGCACACCCACAGCCCTCTCCTTGGGTATGTCCCCTTCTTTCCCTCCCCACATTGTACACAGAGCCACTGCAGGACCAGTGAGAGTGTCAACAGGCCTGCTGAGCCCAATCTTGACAAGCCTCTCCTTCCTGCTTTCTAAGACCTGACAAATACACCACTCCAAAAAGAGATCATCAGGATCATCCTCCTGAGCCTGCCCCTCTGCCTGGGCTCTGGCACCTCATTAGGATTCTGCATGACACTTTTCAAAGCCCGCATCCCTCATTGAGATGCTGACAGACAACTGGAGAACACAAAATGCTCCTTCCCCTGCGCGGGGGCATTCTAGCCTGTGATTTCTGCTACGACTCAGTCAGCATCTGCTTTAATGAAGCCGTCTACTATCGCTGAGGCCCTGGTGACTGATGTCCAAGCTTCTACCTCAGCCTCCAGTTGCTCAGCCCCTCCTCTTCTTTTCTCAGCTGCAGACTTCCTCAGCTAACAAAATGAGACAATGAGCAAGACTTGCAGGACAAAGTGCACCAAATTCCCAGTACTACAGCTTCTAGCAAATATTTGTCAGCTGACAATCAGTTTAGCAGCTAAAAGCAAACATGTTTAGCTGTCAGGATTTGGGAATACACCACAAAGGCTCATGGTATCTTAACAATCTCCTGGGCTTTGTAAGAGATGTTTTTGTACAGGGTAATTTGGGTCACTTTTGATCAGCTGGTGTCTCTGGCGTGCTGCCACAATTCCTCTTGCACATATACTATCTGAGATGAGCTCCTCTTTTGTCCAATCTCCTACATCCTTCTCTCTCTTAATACTTCTGTCAGTCCCGGCCTTTCCTCATCAGGAAGGACTGAATTGCTTTCTAATGAAATGACAAGGCAGATGAATCAAGCCCATTGAGGCATGCAGGACTTTACCACTGTGTAGCTCTATGCCCTCCTTGCACAACATCGCATGCAGGTAAAGGAACTGCATATCTTAGAACTTTCTGGGTGTAGTTCAGCTCCTAGCAGAGCTGAGAAGAGTTACATTACACCCTTAGGAGTCAATCACCTCCCTTAGCTTTCCCAACCCATTCCATTTGCTTTGCTCCCTAGTTCCACTTCCAACCTTCTTCTTTAGAAATGAGGATGCAAAAAAATTAGGTTTGTGGCTAGAATGAAGATTCTGGAAAACTGTTTTTCCTAATCTTTTACGATTTCTGATGTTACCTCACCTTTTTCTCCTCCCTGGTTTCAGTGTGCAGGCAAAATAGAGATCAATTTAGTGCATAGCAACATGCGCCACAGAAATCATGTATGACAAATTATTATAACAATGCTAAGGACAAAACTCTCATCATACTTTTCCTCTGGGTTTCCAAACTGTTTTCTGAACAGAAAACAGAGGAGCTGTACCACATCCTCTAGAGAACAAGGGCATTGCATAAACTGTATCTTAGCAACAAATGAATTAATAGCGTAACTTCCTAGTCCGCTCTATAGAAAAAGCACAATCAGTCTTTAGAAACTAAGAAAATAACGAAAGCAGGAAGACTCACCTCCCCCTTCTTCACAGTCATGGACTGCCGACGAGGAGTGATCTCCTCATTGATGCTGGAGAGGAAGTTCTGCGAGATCCGCAGAGCATCCTGCAGGAGTGGATGATCAGGGTGGCTCACTGGAGTGTGCTTGAGCAAATCCTGATGCCAGGAACACAAAGAACAGAACCATGAGCAGCACGGGAAAGCAGAAGGGCCTGAGGACCCCTAACTAGAGCCATGGGACAAGATGCTGCAGCCTCTTCTTGCAGATCAGTGCAAGGCTCAATCGCGACAGGAAGAGGTTAATACTCTGCACTTCTTGGTAACACCACTGAAGAGGTAGCAGAATCCTACCCATGGACTCCCTCCCCTTAATGTAAAGGGAAGAGGCTCTTATGCAGCATGACAGGTTTATTTTTGCAGTCCTGCGGCTGCATGGAAAATTTGATGGGCAAAGAAAATAGGAAAGGGGCCTAAAGTTTGAAAACCACCCTTCAGATACTCACATGCAAGACAAGTGTGCTGCGAGTCACTCGATCCACTGGCTTGTATAACAGAGCTGTGAAAAAAACCATCAGTGGAGAAATAAGGAAGAGATACTTAAATACAGCCCCTACAGAGCAACTTGTCCACTGCAACTGAACGTACAGGCATAGGTGCACTACCCACTGAGCTACTGGGAAATTCCCATCTCTAAGGTTAATGTGCTGCACAGCCAGTAAAACACACACAAACACACAGAGGAAATAAACATGCTCCACAGCAAACACATGCCCACTTGTGAGCACGCCCTGCCAGACAGTGGATGAGGAGCACACAAGGTAGCACAGAACAACTGCACACAGCATGGCACGCTCCCCCCCAGGTCAGGATTGGGCCTTGCACTCCTAAAGCTGCTAAGGAGGTCTCTGAAAGGTTGGCAATGCATCCCTCCTTCTGGAGTTCAGCATGACTTATTGAGTGCTTCCAAATCCTGATAACAGGCCAAAACAGGACTGGGATTGGCTTTTATATTAGTGAGTATGGGTTGTCTTCTACTTATGTGTGAATAGAGACAAGCACCACAGAACCTCATCTTGACCAGGCTCTCTAGATGCTACCGTAGGGCAAAAAACATATAACAATAACTGCTAGGATTGCATTTGTGCTACCACTGGGTAGCAGATATTCTCTTAAAAATCAAAGCAGTCCTTTGGCTGACTTGGTTTCCCCAAAGGGACTGATGAGGTTTTAAGCTGAGCAGCGAATTCTCCATGCATGCATGCAGCTTACTATGCATGAGCTCTGCTACTTAGCAAAAAGGAACTGATTTCCCAGGTAGAGCCAGCAGAGACTCCACAACCTTCCAGCATCCAAAAAGAGAAAGGGAGAATGGAGGTTTGGCAACAGCCCCCCCACAGTCCTGACAAACCACAGTCTCCTCTGCATGGATCACTCACTTTCCAACGAATTTTTCGTTGTCTGATCTTTAGATTCCTTTGTGCTTCTAGCCTTTAGATTCTAAAAGAGAAAAAAAACCCACATAGCAGAGAGTCAATCACCTTGAAATATCACATGGGAATGTAAGAGACTAACGCTCCTCCAAGGGAGGGCCTAAGTGTGAATGGAGGACAGCCTTATCACAGTTCAAGTCAGTGAAGGAAAAATGTGCTTTCCTTCTCGGTAAATCCACCGTTGCCGTGTCACAAGCACTCACACATCTCAAATACTCAGCACTTTTCTTAGGAGTACATGTCAACAGAGATACAGCAAAGCAGGGAGTCACCTACAGTGACACAGGGGTGGTGGAGTTTTCAAACAACCTGCAGGAGAAAGGTACATCCATAAGGATGCAGCCATTGCCACAGCATGTGTACGCCACCAAGAAATACAGTACAGGATTGTCTTCTAGTGGCTGCCGTAACACTAACTATATATATTACTATTAATAAATCGGAAAGGCCCTGGAATACATTTTAGTACTGAAAGAAAAGTAAGCACAGGGGAAGCTACTTTAGTAATGAATTGACACCACCAGAGTACAGAAGTGGTCAGGCAAAGGACCATGATGGAAATCCTCAGGAAAGGAGAGAACAGAAGACATCTGCACAGCATGTCCCAAAAGACAGGTTTTGCTTCCCTCATTTCACAGAGGGAACATGTTTTATTTTACCTCTTTAACATAAAAATCTAAAGGCATATGCAATATTGAGTGTACTCAGTTTTTTCAAAGCAATAAATGCCTCCAGTATTATTCAGCTCTGATCATGTATGTGCTCGTTTTTAAGGACACACGTATGAAGTTCATGTTTTCTTGGCAACTGAGTTCTTCAAGATACAACCATGGCAATACAAAGAGTCAATGTGACCCAGCACTGCAGGTAAAGCTGGTGGCCTGATAAGCCTGAAAAAGTATTCGAAATGCTTTGAGACAAAGTACTTCTCTTAAAGAGAGGAAATAAAATCAGCCCAATAAATAACATTATAGATTATGCTTGACACACTTACCTTTTTAAACAGAGAGCTACCCTCTCGTCCTCTCCACGCTAGAGAAGCCAGCAATTCCTCTGACAGCTATTGTGCAAGCTATTAAAGACGACTTTTTACACCACAGTCAGCATCACCGTTAGCCAGAGGAATATTTGAGAAACTCAGTACAGCTTTTCCTTCTAGAAATGCATGAAGGTGGCACAGAACTGAGAAGTTCAAAGCAATGCCAGTTTTTACAACAACGTTCCCTGGGTGGGGACAGCACATAAAGGCATCTATTTGATAACCTCTATTAGCCCAAAGTACGCTGGAAGAACACAAGCTGAAGCAGTGAGCCTACAGGAGCTCACAATTCCTCCAGAAGTCATGGCTGCAAATAGACTTGGAGGATAGACAGGAGTGACATCGCAGGGTATTAGTCAGATCCAGACGGCTCGTGTGTCTGAATACCGTGACATTACCTCAGAGATTTCAGCAAACTGAGCATTGGCTTGGCAGCATTTCTCTGCTGTCTCCATAGCAACTTCATAGTTATCCACAAAGGCCCGGTACACTCCCAGCTGGCTGGCCTGCAGGAAGCAAAACAAAATAAAATAAACGCTGGGGAAGATGACAGTTTAGGATGGCCAACCTCAGTATCTAATCATCAGGTCATGTTCCTTCATGCCAAAGAATTGCAGGGAATGCTGGTCAGGCCCAGAAAGACATCTCTGACCCAACAGCTTTGGTTAACCAGGGCAGGTGCCCCCATGCACCCAGTTCCATCCATGCTGAACAGGTTCACTTGTGAAGGATGTGGGAGACTGCGAGAATGACACATCCTTATTACTGCCATCTATTTTTCCCTTCCGAGCTGCCAGATTAGTATCTATTAATATTTTAGCTCATTGATGTAACTGGAGCTGCTGGCTATTCACCACAAAATATGAATCAGACAGGAATGACTCAGCCCAACAGCACAAATGTGATCCCAGTAAGCTACTTGTTGGCTTTTGCATGATGGACACACTAAATCAAACCCAGCTATTAACTCACATTTGCATTAGTGAACATTGTTGTAAGGGCAGTGGAGTGCTGAAAATACAGACGAGAGATCCAAAGCACAATCTGTTTGGAAGGCAGTGACTGCCACACTAGGTGACAGAAAATGGCAGTTTTTCCAGCAGAAGGAATATGCAATTGGTCCAGAAGAAGATGGAGCAGGCCCCAGAGTGCAGTAATAAGCCATTATTATCACTGAGCCTTAGCACCAATCCCGTTTGCTGACTTAGGAATTGCAGCCATATTCATGCCAGAGAACATAAGATCCAGCTCAGGAAATCCCAGGGTAGCTTCCAAGCTCGTCTGGATTGCAGAGCTGGTTTTGTGCTGCAGAGCTGCCCAGGCTGTGCTGTAAACACCTCAGCAGCTTGAACACACTTGCAAGTGCACGGGCAGCGGCGAGCCAACAGGTGGAGTGCTGTAAGAGGCTCCATTACAGAGAAGTTTGTTAGTGGACCAGTTTGCACTTACCTTATTATTTCTGCAACTTCCCTGACACTTCTGCCCAAGATGTGCAACAGGCAGAGCAGTTAACTGTCCCACAGACAGTGCTCTTTTCCTCTCCTGATCCCTCATGATCACTGTGTTTCCCATTCTCTGTGGAGCTTTGTGCGAGAAACAAAGCCACACTCAGGAGAACATTTCCTGCACAAATTTCTTCAGCTAACAGAGGCTAACAAACAGCTGGCTCTTTCCTAGGGCACATTCTACTGAAAGATTAGAAACAAATCTCAACCCTCATACAAAAAACACAGTTGTGACTGAAGCTGAAGGAAACTGCATTCACTTCTGCAGGGATGACCTGGCCCCAGCAGTGTGGAGAGAATGAATTCTGTATTTGCCACTGGGGCACAATTCTGTGAAGAATTCTGCTATCAGAATTACTGATCATTTCTGGGTTTATGACATTTGGGTTTGGATGATGCCAGCTAACATGGCAGAGGTCTAAAGTCTCTCCATTCCTGTGTGGCTTTTTCATTTCCCACTACTCCTTTACAGTCTAAGCTTTCGTCTTCCTGTTCTAAGCATGCCATCATGAAAACACCTTTTTCATTAAAAACTGAGTGTCCAATCAAAGCAATAATGCTCACACACAGTTTTCATGCTGGTTTAAGTTTCCTCTTTTTCAATTAAAAAGAACACACTGAAAATTAAACAAGCTTTGGTAGAAATAACTGGCTTTTGGTTACAATTTTTTCCATTCTTGAAAACTATCAGTGATATTTGCTAATTATTTCTTCACTTCTAAAAACAGTCCTAAAGTGTTTCCTTTCTAGTTATAAAAAATATGTACAAAATATTCCCCAAAAATGAGAAGCATATTTCACGCCCACATGCCTAGTGGGTTTTTTTTTTTTTCCTTTTCCTTAGTTTCAACAGGAAAAAGGTGGAATAACAGCCACTGATGTTGCAAACGGACCATACTTTGTGCCAGACCACATGAAATCCTAAAACTCCTTGCACGCACTATCTAGAACTTGAATCTACAGTGCTTTGTTTTGCGTGATATTAAAGAAAATTAATGTCCCCAGAGACCTCAGGATAATAACAAGGATTCCAGTGCTTATCGTCAGATTGCATGACATGATCACACATAAAATCTTTTTGGAGCAAACTGTTTATGTACATCCTGTATGTCTTGTAATGCCTGATGTTCACACTGTCTCTCTCATCTAGCTGCTTCCCACTGTCTGCCAAGAATTATTAGCTTTATCTCGTCCAGTGAAGAATTCACAATTCCCACTGATACTGTACCAAACCACCAGAAACTGAAACTGCTAAGCTAGCTCAAAGCTTCCTGCACTAGGGCAATTTGCTCCTTTGCTTCCAATACTAATCCAACCGAATCAACAATTCTGTTACAAATGCACAAAAATCAGGGGAACTCAAAAACAAAGTACCAGAAAGGCTTAACTCCTGGACTTGTGATCACCCTCAGCAAGAAATGGTCTTAAAACAAAGGCCCACGTAGCTGTACGGTGAATCAAAGCTCGTTTGACAGCCAGCCATGGTAGAGAATATATTCAGGTCTTCTTGAATTAGTGCTATCTTCACTGCTGCACTACACTCTCAATACAGTTTGAGGCTTCCACTTTCAGCAGCCTTCTATCTCTTTGCTTCAGCAACCAGGAGCAGGTGGTTTTGTCTTCTTAAACCAGTTGCTCAAACTGCATACCAAGGCACCAACTTGACCCCTCCTGGCTAAAACATTCTGGCAGTGAAAAGCAGATTCCTATATTTTGATCTTGAGCTGCCGGCATGGATGGAAAAACAACATCTTCCAGGCCCATTTCTCCTGCTCCATAGAGAATTGGGCTGGTGCTGGGCGACGCAGCTGCTAACAATTGAGTGGCCCTGGTAAAGTGCACTCCCCATCCAATAAACCCCTCACTGGAATGTCACTCCTACCCCGAGAATCAGAGGCACCTCAGGAATGCAGAAATTCTTTTCTTTTCTAAAAAGGAAAAAACAGCTCCTTTAATCCTTTGCTCTCTGCACATGCTAGGGGAGAGGCTAAAGGGGCCAAAGGAATCTCCTAGAATGCAAACAATTTGTCATCTGGCTCAGAAACTCAGCAATTTTAATTCAGCCTCAGCAATGTGCTGTATATGTCTTTATCCTGTCCTGCACTCAGACAATTTTGTGGAGGTTGCTTGGAGGATTCTCAGCAGCAGGTCGACTATATCAGCATAGCAGCAAGCGGAATTTCAATGCCAGGATGGTGGAAGAAAAACAAAACAGAGAAAACCAGCACAAGACAGAGCAAAGCTCCATACGGAGAAGGAAGTACGCGTGAGGGAGCTCAGCAATAATGAGAAACACTTATCTGTCAGTGTTAAAAACTACCCTTTTTAACATAGCCATTCTCCCATCTTCCTCTAAAGCAAATGGTTTGATGACACTGCAGACACAGTGGAGATTCAACATTTCTGTGGAACTGTATTTGCGTTAGTAGCGTAGCTTCCTGGAGGCTTTAATTAAAAGGCAACGAAACAGCCACTTTTGCTGCAGGCCTTTCACTGCAGTGAGGCAAAGCTAGAAGCCTCTCATCTAATCCAGCTACCGGCTGTCATCCTTTTGGTCTATGCATAGTCCCCAAAGGGAATGGTACCAGCACCTGTGAGATGAACGAGAGGTAACAGAAGCTTCTGTGACGGCAGCTGACTCACCAACTTTTGGAAGAGGTCCCCTACACGTTGCTGGTGACTCCACTGCTGCACTCGGGGGAAGAGCCCATCATAGAATTCTTTGTGGATCTCGTAGAGCTCAGGCACTTTGAAGAATATTGTCTCAATCTGCTGACTAGTCAGCACAGGCTGAGAGGTGGTGGCAGCTGCTTTCAAAGGTTTCATAGGCTGGAATGAGGAATGAAGGAAATCGTTATCATGCAAACCAAGTACATTCCCTTGCCACATTACAACACATCCCTCCAGAGAGTTGTTTTTCACCCTATTAATAAGTGATATTTGCATTCATACAACTCCTGAAAGCTAGACATTAACAAATTCTCTCATGGGGATCAGCCACCTCTGGTATGTGGATTTTCCCAGGATATTAATGGTGTGATTAAAATCCCTTTGCACTCCATTTCCTTAATTTCTGCCCAACTGTACAGCAACGTGTCTAATAATGAGCCCAGGATACTGAAAGACAGGGCTCCTGGATACTACCACACTAATAATTCCCTGGTTGTGCCGCATCAAGTCCTGTCTTTAAGCCTCTCTTCCTCTACTGGAGAAGAGGAGTAACAGGTACTCTTAGCACCCAGCAACTTGTAACCCATGATACGTGAAGTTCTGGGAAACTTTTGAAGGAAGCAGCAGTGAAAATTCAAGTAGCAGGGTTTGAAACAGTATCTGCCACCAGCGCTTACCAGCAGCAGAGCCTCCAGGTGGCTCAGGTAGGTTTCCTCACTGGCTAGGATTCCCGACAGGACCCATTTTCTCATCTCCAGGCCTTTCTCCAGGTCTGGCTCACTCTACAAAGAAGTTGTTAAGGAGCAAAAATAAAAAGAAAAAAAAAAAAGAAAAAAGAAGGGAGAGAGTGAGAAAAAAGCAAACAAAAATTAGGATGGAGAGTAAAAGGTATTATTCAACTGACCACAGCATACTTAGGTTTTGGTTTACTTTCAGACTAAAAAAACCAACCAAACAAAAAACCCACCTGTGCTCAGTGGGCTGCTTCTGGAAATACACAAACACAAAACATGAAATAAATTTTATTTACCAGCAACTGATGTCACTTAGATTATTTACAGGTGTTAGCTTTAGTCATCCAACTTTGGTGCCTCAATTAGGTACCCAGACTTCTTCACAAAATTCAGAACACCAAACTTATGAATTCGTAATTTATCATCCTAAACAAATCTTAGGGACCCTTGGTTATGTGCAGTTGACTCCTTCCTCCCACGAGAGTCCTGTATGATCTTACTCCAAAGCCATATTTCTCTAGGCAGACGGAATCATTTCCCTGCATCTACACAGATGCGCATGAATATACAGCAGTTACAGCCTGACACTGCTGTTAAGATGGCTGTTCTTTCTCCCACTCTCTACTACTCACTAAATTATTTTTCAGTGCCAGCTTTCACAATCTCTATTTTTAGTTAGAGGATGGAATAATCAGCACTGCTTGGAACGCACATGCTGATTTTCTTATTGGGATTCCATTAAGGAGTTCCTAACTAAAACAACTGGAGAAAGAGAGAGAGGAAAAAAAACCAAAAACATTCATGCACAAATGCACACATCAAGGGAATAACATCAAATGTTAAGAGAAGCAGTAATCCCCTCTGTTGAATTTCAACTACCTTTCCTCTCAACACTGTTACCTCAAAAATATTTAACCTGATAAAGTGAAGTTGAACATTTCCATAAACTTGGAAAAAAAAGTGGCAGAACAATGAAGGTTTTAAATAATGAGAAATATCCCCCTTTTACAGAATCTGATTTGCAGTTCTTGTTATTTCTGTCATTCACAGAAATAGCTTTTTACAATTCTTGCAACCTTTTTATGTTAAATGTGTCTGAGACTAGAGTCAGTAGACGGATTTGAAAGGCTCAACACTTTTCAAGGGGTTTGTGTAGGTTGTTTCGGGCTCCATCCTACTCCTGTTAATATCCAGAGGAATCTTCAGCTATTTATTTCAGCAGCAAGAGGATTGGCTGAACATAAAGCCCTTCTATAATGGACAAAAAAAGCTCTATTTAGTTTAGGGTTCTATGCTTTGAACCCTGCAGATGCTTATATGAGGTTCTCTATGGAGAGAAGGTATCTTGCTATAGGTAAGCTTACAGTAACTATCAAATTCTGCGTGTGACTTTGAGCCTACGCACCACATGAAAAAAGAAACAGATCCTCACGCTCCCAGATATTTCCGAATTCAGTCTCATCAATAACCACCATCCTGATTTTTGAACACTTTCATTATATTTCACAAGCTATTTTCTAGGCTAAAAGACCTTGCAGCAACTCCTTTATAAAAATTTTGTCAAGTGTCAAATACCACCATCACTTCTTAAATAAAAGCGACAGACAGAAGCAGTTCTAAGGAAATGAGTAAAATTTACAGGCACATCAGGTACCACACGGAAAGAAGAACTTGTCTTTGCATCCCACCCTTCAATGAGGTTCAGCAAGAAGCACAGCACCTTTTAAAATCTTGAAAGGGCATCTCAAAGGAGCTAGGAATTTGTAATTCAGCAGCCGCGTTTTAGAAGATTTCAAAAAAACACCAGTGACAAACTACATGGTAAAATGAAAGCTGCAACAGATTCTGCACGTCTACAGCTCAATCAGAAATGTGCAACAACATTACGACCACTCCTTATGATTTCTGTACCACCAGCAGTGCCTGGGATGTACACCTCACGGACCGTGTTGTAAGGCATGGTACATACACGTAATCAAGACAGACAGCCCCAAGATGTTTAACAAAGATTGCCTTCATCCCAAGAGGCAGCAGGTGTCTGCGTGAAGCAGCAACCCTGGTGCAAGAAACACACAATACCTCTCGGTTTCCAAAGATTTCTTACAATGCTTACAAAAGAAAAATGCAGCTTCACAAAGAAGCGTTGAGAAAAACTAACAGTGCTCCAAAGTCTCCACTGCTGAGGATGAGGTAACTGGTCAATATTGACACAGCACTATAATTATCTTGAGCAGGTTCTCTTGGAGGAGGTGAGAATTTTAAAACCAGCTAGGTACAGCTGTAAAGAGCAGCACACAATGACAAGTTATTTAAATGATTCAAACTTTCCCATCACAACAGTGGCACAACGGTTTTCCTTACAACACTGAGAACAGTTTTCCTCTCCACAAATAAAAGCTTCAACTTGCAAGCCAGTTCTTGCGGGGCACCATCAGCTGACAGAGACAGCATTTTCTGCCTGAATGTTAATTTCCCCTCTTTAAAAGAGATTTGCTTTCAGAGAGACAAACATCTCCCAGGACACGCTACAGGCCTTCCTTCCTGGCCATTACCACAAGGTCACTTTGCAAAGTCCACGGTATTGTCCTAACCCTTTTTAATTGCAGCACTTTCCAAGCGTGATGCTTGCAAAACGCTGGCCTCTGATGCAGCCAGACAGGGCAGGGCCTGGCTGCCTGAAGCCACAGTGCAGCGGTTGCTGAAGAAACCCTCAGGGGAGTTTATCCAACAATCACATAGCAGTTAGGAGGTTTGCAATGCAGTACCTCAAATTTACATATGGACTCCTCATACGCGCAAAGATGATCTCCTGCTGCTCCTGCTGTGTCAGGGATCAATGCAACACCATGACGCTGCTGTCTGCATTGTGTTGCTGCTCTATTTTCTCCCGAGAGCCGGTGCCCTGACAAGAGTTTCCTGCTGGGGGAGGCCTCTTCTGACAATGTCATCTGGGGCCGCACTGAGCAGCAGCTCTTGCTGCTAGATGAACATCTGGAAAACAGCCCCCGTGCTTCTTCAGCCTCAGGGTGCTTTTTAAATCACACTTGTTATGAAACTTACTCCAGGACAGAGAAATTCACTGTCAGCTGGTGCCAACACCAGGAAGAAGAGGAGCAAGTTTATTATTCGGTATTACAACATTCCTCACTCAGAGAGCTGGAACCAGGCGCACCTGCTCACCCAAAACAAGACAGAGCAATTAGGCAGAGATACCGCGAGACTGTCCTTCCACTCTCCCCGTGCAGCACGCCAAGACGTGATGTACCCAGTGTCAAGGGCATTTTCTGCTTTGCCCATATCTGACAAAAAAGGGAAACAAAGAGCAATTCTGTGACCACAACAGCCTCGCTGCTCTGTTTCTGCACCCCAGGCAGAAGCACAGTTAAGAGAGGGAACATCCCAGGAGTAGGCATCAAGCTCCCCACCAGCTCAGGGAGACCTGCCAAGGCTGGGTTCTCCTTTCCCCTACCCTGGCGAAAAGGAAGCTGTCAGAAATCTTTGAGCTGCTTGTGCAAGGGCAGGAGCTGGTACCACAGCTACCAGAGCACATTAGCTAGGGGAAAATACACCTATTAACCCAAGTGCAGCTGCGATGTTCCCAGCAGGATGTGGGAGCAGCCTGTGCTGGCAAACTCGAACCACTTTTTTTCAGCAGTCCATCCCAAGCTTCCTACCCAGCTTGTAGAAGAAAAAACCGGGCTAACCAAGTCCGACTAGTATTTCATGTTTTGACTCTGTCCCTACCTCTTTCTCCATTGCCCTTCCATCTTTTGGCTACCTCTCTACCCACATGGTTCAGAATAATTCTATCTTACACGACTATCATGGGGCAGCAGCCAGAGCATTGCTGCCTGCCTGCCATGGGAGCTGTGAGTACCCAACACCCAGCCAGTTCTGAATAAGCAAGCAAGAAATCAGTGCTCTGCTTCCACTCCTCATGAACTACATTTAAAGAAAAAAAGAAAAAGAAAACAAAAAGGAAGGTGTAAAGCAGTATAAAGGACATTTCACAGGTATCTCATTCCTACAAGGTTCTGGTGTTTTCTTCTCAGCTGGGTGGTGCTTCTTGCTATTCCAAAGACTTAAAAACCAAAAGATTGAGTCACAGTCATTAAGTGCAATCTTGCAACCTGAACCAAGGCCAGTCAGAGTGGTTAGAAGCACTGAAGATATTAGAGAGCGAGCATGCACACACTGGCCCCGAGCCATGGCTGTTTTGAATGTGTTTACAGCTTGTCAGCCTAAGTATTTAGTTTACTAACCAGGTTGGCGCTGCATGCTGTATTCAATTACTGCAAGCCTGAGATTCACCAGCTCCAAGGATTAGACAGATTCAGCTCTTCCTGACTCTGTTTAAAGAACTCAGGGTTTTCTGGTTGTTGTTTAAATTAACAGCAATAATTGTTTTCTTGCAAATGTTAGAAGACGGCAGATTAAGAATCTAGAAACCACAACACACATGATTTTGTAAAGTGGTTGCTGCCAGCACAGCTCTGTAAAGAGAATCAGTGATCCAAAGTGGGCGTATAAAAGGCACTTCAACTCTCAGACCTTCCTTTGGTACAGTGTGTTCATATGCTATGCAATGAATGTGTTCAAAGAGGTTTCCCGTAAGGACAGCTTAGAATCTCATAGAAAAGCTGACAGCCTACAAAGGAGAAAAACTATTCATTTCAGTTTTGAAAGTGTAAATATCTTTGAAAGCTTCTGCTAAACAGGCTGGAGGTGTCTCATTGTCTCAGTGATATTAAACAGGGCAAATTCTGTAATCAAGCCAGTCGTGCTCCATGCAGGGAGGGGAAGGAGCAGGGAGAGAAGCCAACATTATTTATAACATCAGTACTGGTGTGCCAGCTCTCCTCAGGAAGGGCTGTACATCCAGGCAGAGCCCTTAAGGAGCAAAAAGTTGGAGAAGAAAAAGGAAAAGTTGCATCTGTTTGGGGCAGTGAGGGGAAAGTGACAGTAAAACAAACCAACCAAAACCAAATACTGAGAGGAAGAAAGGAGAAGGATTTGGAAATGCTGGAGAGGGACGGACAAGCTAGCAACAGCAGCACCAAGCAGAGCACTAATCCCATTTATTGATGTAGCTTCAGAGGTCAGTTTTTCTGGACCCCCTTGGGACCAAGCTAGGAGAAAAGTCCACAACCTGCCCTGCCACAGCCCTGCTTTCCGCAATGCTGGCAGATAGTGGGAACAAAAGAATCTGGTCTGAGGACTGGCAACGGCTGCCAATGCTGTGCCAGCTGTGGATTGCGCAGCACAAAAGGGAAGAAGATAAATTCTACCTGGAAATCTCTAAGTACCAGCCAACTTCCCCTCCAAATAGAAGAGAAGGTAGGAGTTAGTCGCTCAGCTTTAGCACTCCTGTTTACCTGGGCATGATATATACAAAAACTGGAGAGATCAATTTTGGCAAAACATTCATCTTCTAAACTCTAGAAGAGTGACTCCCCCCCATTTCCCAGGGCATGGTGGGAACCAGCTTCCCCTTTCCACTGGCCGCCCTGTACCCACATCCACAGAGCCCCACACTTTGAGCCTGGCTTTGTTGGCGAGCAGATCTTGAAAGACCTTTCTTATTTCTACTCTTCCCATTGCTGTAATCTTGCTCCATGTGAGTAGCAGCAATAAAATCACAATGAGTGAAGCCTCCCATCCTGCCTCTTTAGCCTCCCAGCTGCAAGCTACCCACTCTGAAACTCTTGGCAACAACTCTTCTCTAGTGAAGGGTGTCAATCACTAACTTTTCCAGACGTCCCAACGCTTCCCTGTGCCCCAGGAATACTCTAGCAAACTCTCCCTCTGTCCTCCTCTAAGTTTGTCCTGGTATCTTCTCCACTTTTCACCCTGGCTGTATGGGAAGGACAGACAGACTCTCTCTCTTTCTGGGAGTGAATTATCACTACCTATTACTAACACTGTCAGCTGGCATTTTCCAAACAAGTTTCCAGAATTTTGGTAAAGTTCAATCACAACAGTTCAACGGTTACTGAAAGCAAGGTTCAGGAAAATTAAATCACTTCTCAAGTTAAATAAACAAACAACTTAAGCATTAGTGGAACTTGTTTCTCCTTTTTCCTCTTTCCCCTGCAAACTTGCTTCAGACCAACAGCCAAAGTTTGGCAAAAGCACTGGCTTTATGCCAGGGCATGCGTCAGCAGCTCAGCACAAGATCCTGGAAGAGCCAGAAGAGGGAGTATGATCTAGCTTGCCCAATCCTAACATTTGTTAAGGCCTCCTTACCACAAAAATGATGAGTCAAGGGATGCTAAGATCCACACTACAAATAGCCATGTTGATTATGTCCTCTCTGGGTCACAGACAAAACTAATGCTGGTGCAGTGGACACACAGCAGGTGGAATACGAATTCAGAAGAGGTGGCTGAAGTTTAGAGGCAGACCAGCCAGCATCTTTTAGCTTGCTTGTATGATGCAGGTGGTAGAGGAGATTGGAAAACAGATCCCAAATGACAAGGTGTAGAACACCACAAACCTTGTGGAAGTCAACTGTGGCCCTCACTTCCTGGAACACAGAACACGAGGTGCTGGGAATCGGTCATCCTACACACCAAGGTAATAATATGAAGCCCCTCTGCACGTAGTCCAGGAGGTATCCCTTCATTCTCTTTTAGAAAGACACACTGCTTCTGCCACTCTACACTTTCTCTATGGTGGCTGGGTAGACCAGGTGGAACCCTGAACTGCTACCCAACCAAAGCCCATGGCTGCCATAATGAGACAGAAAGACTTAGTCAAACACTTAGCAGAAAAAATACAAAGCCCAGAGCAAGCCCACAAAGTAAGACAAAGCAAAAATGCCCTTAACATCCAGATAGCACCAACCCAGTCTCCAAGAGGAAGGCTGATCTCATGAGTAAGGCAAATGAACATCACCCCAGAATGCTGCTGTGTCTGTGTGATGCTGAGCGAATTACTTAGAATCACATTAAAAAAAATATATATATTGCTTGCAATGTTTTCCATTTTCTGGGTGCCTGACAGGAGCGTTGTCAACTTTTGGTTTCAAGTAAAATTAAAGGGATTTTACTTTAAATGTGAAAAAAACGGCATTAGAAGTCAGAACCTAGTTTTGCAGAATATTACGCATCTCACATTAAGCACCCAAAATTAACAGACGTTTTTCCTCTAATCTGTCTACCTTGATTACCTGTGGTTGGTGAACATACCATCCTCTTATCTCACTGGAACATTGCAAGGATAATTAAGACCTGTGCAGCATTCCAGCTGTCATGCCAAAAGGAAACGAGTACTTTTGTACGCAGAGCAGAGTTTGCAGTGTCCTGTACATAAGGTATGCACATAGCTCTAGAGATAAAATACGGAATCCAGTGAGTATCATTCACTATATACACTGAACAATGCAGGACCCTCATAGAAAAAAAATAGGACATGATTGCATAATTGAAGGTTATCATAAAGTTTCAAGACAAGGCTATAGGCCCAAGGAAAGGCAGGATAACCACAGTAATTTCTTAACTTCTGAATGACTTCACAATCTTAATATTTTGTCAAAGTGGTATATATAGTGGCACGTGTTGTGTTGTTACATACAGTTAACTGTTGATTTCTAGACTCTGGTCATAAAGATAAAAAAAATTCAGAAGTAATGGCAGGCACCTAAGAAAGAAGAGGACAAGGCGACAACTATAAAAGCAAACACATGTAAGCAAAAAGTGTTTTCTGCTAATCAAGTGTAGTGAAAAAGAAAATAGAAAAGACATCCGTCCTGGTATTTCTGGTCCAACTCATTTTCACAGTGTGTTTGACACTTAATTTTGTTCCTGATGTCTTTTACACTACAGTTGAAAACATAACTACAGTAAAAGCCATCTAACAACTTGCAATGACAGAAAGTTTAACTTGTTTGGGGAATACTGCAACCATACATAAATTAGTATCTTCCTCTTTGCCATGGACCATCCTTTATGAGTGGCACTGTCATCTGTGGACTAATTACAGACAGGATCGACCGAAGCAGCTGAGGTTCACAATGAAAAGTCTAATCTGTATCAGGGCACCTCTTTCTTTTGGAAGACATAAAACATCTTCTTATAGTCAGAGAGAAGCAAGCAGACATTTATGTTAAAAATTACCTTTAAAAAGGCAGCCTTCTGGCATTATTAAGGTAATTCTGAAATTAACTACTGTTAAATGCTTATGAGGCAATATTCAAACAAATAAAGAACAAGATTAGGCAACATCTCCTCCAGGCCTCCATCACAGGCACTATGACAACTGCTTCCTTGAAGATAACTCTCAGTCATATGTAGTCACATTGCATTTTTCCTTCACGAGAAACATATCTGGGAAATCTCAAGTCAATATTAAAATGTTCTTGGAGCTTTTGAATTTGCTAATGATAATTTATTCATTCAAAAGCCTTTTACAGATCGCAAGAATTCTCATCTTGAGAGATTAAAAAAAAATCTCAGAATAGACTAAAGCATATGCAGCTAGCTAGATTCCATACTTTATACTCAAATAAAATTAAGCAAACATCAACAATATATTTACCTGATGATGCTTTAAGAGATCTTGACAATGCATTTTTATAAATAAGAACAACAAGAACACTGTCTCAAGTAGGTTTCTTAATCTAACATTCATCCTAGAAAAAGTAAGGAAGCATATGATATGGCACTAACCAACAGAGTGATAGAAGGATGTATATAATGATGCTAAGTAGCAATGGCTTGCAGAACTTGTCAGACTCTTGAAATCATTTTGATGCAAGATAAATAAAATTGTCTGATAAAGGTGACAATGTTGGTTTACATTATTTACACTGATATCTGTAAAATACCCATCTTCTTCTCACATGACATCTTAATTAATAGGACAGAACAATATAAAGCCAACACAGAAGTTAAACCACTCAAATGACAGATTTACAATGTGGGAATTCAAGGCTGTTTGGCTACACTTTCTTAGAAATACTGTAGGAAGGAAGTGACAGTTGTCTTTGTGCTATTAAGCATTTTTATGAATGACCTGGGGAAACCAAAAGTTTGCAGATGACAGATATTCAGGGAAACAAACTTAGGATTGAAGTGCTCTACAATCTAGGAACCAAAAGGATAAATAGAAACAAAGGCTGAAAGTCAAACAGATTATTTCGAGCTCAAACAAAGACATTTTTGTCTGTGAAGACAGAAGAGTCAACAGTTATTTACTAAGGCAAGCAGCAGGCTCACTACCAAGACTATTGTAAAAACAAAACCAGAAATTTTCCTTAAGTTCCAAGCTATAGCCATGCTACTGAACCTGAAGCAAAAATAAAGCAGGATAGCCTGAAGGTCCACATCAAACCACACGTCAGGCTAGGTCGTCCTTTCTTGACTTTTAAATCTATCATAATTTAATATATGGACAGCTATATAGTGAATAGTCAGATTTGTTATAAGAAGTAGCCATCTCCCACCCAAAGTCACCATACTTCAGAGCTCACAGTTTAAATTCCGCTTATTCCATTTTCACAGAGTGAAGGAAACATCTTATACTCTAGATTCTTTATCAAAGTTTTTAACCTACCTGAAAATAACTTTTATTTTCGTTGTGAAAGGCAACAACAACCCACATGCACAAGTGTATGAACATCATAATGTAGGATGTTTTGTTTCAGTCTCCTTTCCAAAATATCTGGTATTTAGAGACCCTCTTATCAGCATCACCAATTCTCTCCATTAAAATTCACAAAGGGTAAAAAAACTGAGTCTTAAAAATCATACACACAACACTCATCACTGAAATTTAGGCTTAGCATCAGCTAGAAGCCTCAATTTAGCTTTAAATAAACATCAATCAGGCAGTGCTATAGTATGTCAGGTAGTCTGTCCTACAGCAGCTTTGCTGACTCCAAAAAGGCAGGAAAGGACTCACTGATTTTGTAGATTCCAGAGACCCTGAAGATAGGGTGTCTCGGCTGCCCCGACTCTTGGAACTGAGATGAGGTGAGGATGATGGCGAGTCATCAATATAGGGCATCATATCATGATGTCGCCTCTGTTCTTCAGCACGGTCTGCATCATACGCATAGCTAGGCGGTGTGCCACTGAATGAAGCATCTGTAAAACACAGGAGAAAAATCTGTCTGGTCAGAGTCAAGCTGGATAGGAGACAGGCTGGTCGACCAAGGCACTGCCTGTCTCCCAGCCATTATGGTTACTTATCAGTAAACCCAGAATCAGTGATAGTTAAATACCGATCAAATGGAGAAGCAAATTTAATTAAACTCATGTTGTCACCAAACATTCACTTCACTCATTCTCAGTCCTAAAAGGTAAAGTCCTTTCTCATACCTAACATCAGCATTCATCTAATTACCACTCCTCCCCTCAAGTTTTCCTTCAAAAGCTTTGCCATCAAAATAAACCCTTTTGCAGGGTTCATAAAAGTTACACCGTCTGGGTTTAGGAAAGTAGTGGGTTAGGGTAACAAACCTTGTTTTTACTGTGGAACAAGAACAGATGATGCCGCTGACAGTTTAGCCATCACAGATAATAGGGAGCTCAGGGGAGAAACACAACTCTTTTCAGACCTCTCGGGAACAAGAGGACTAGGAAAGAAAGGTCTTACATGTCCAGTGAACTGGCCTACTGCCAAAAATCAAATCCTAAGAGGCCCTATTTGTTTGGCTGCCCCTCCTCCTCAATTTTGAGACTAACTCCCTAAACAAATCAACAAACCACCACCCCCCTCCCTCCTACACCCCCCCATCAAAAAAAAGGGGGAGGAGGGATGGTGGTATGAAGAGTCAAATTTACCATTATTGCATGAAATATCAATGGACTTCTGCAGGAAAGATGAGTAGTAAAATTGGTTCTGGTATCTTTAGTAACTGTATACAGAGACTGTTTCTGCAAAAATCTGTATTAAGGACACAAACTGAGCAGCTCCCTCTACCATAAATTAAAAGGTCTTTTACCTCTCGGTAAAAAGAAATACACACAAAAGACCAAAATTTGTTTTCTGCATAGCAGCACCACATCACATACATCTTGCCTGAGAGAAGCTGGACACAACCTTACACTTGAGTTACATGGGCCTGTGAAGCACTTTCACCCATCAATGCCCCAAAGTGTTCTGGGTGTACCAGTAATAGCCATGCATGGGCCGCTGAACACAAAAGGGGAGGGCTCCTCCTCCTCTTTCCGTTACAAGTCACAAAATGCCACTCTTCTCCCAAAACTGAAAAATAACCACAGTGAGATAAGCTAGACCCACTTCTACAGTGGCAGGCGAGCCTTTACGAAGACAAAGCCACAACAAAAGAATAGCTTTTTTGTCTTATAAGTTTAAAACTATGCATTAAATTCACACTTGAACACAAGTAGAACCAATTTTTACTTGTTTTCACAAGTATCCAGGTTCTGCGAAAATAATAAGCAGCAGCTGCCAAGCATACTAATAATCCTGTTATACATCACTGAAGCAGGGTGGAGGAGTAACATTTTAAAGCCCACTTTCCTCCCTCACAGTAAACTCAGTGAAAGCATGACTCATTCCAGTAAAGGATGTGAACTTTGTGTGGAACAGAATAAAACTTGATCCATGTGGCTTATTCAGGAGGGAGAGCTGGTCTAGGGAATTTACACAAACAATATACCGAAAATCCAACAACAAACTCACTGTAGAAGTGAGCTTCTGTCTCGATTCATACCAAATACCACCCAGCTAAGTAACAGCTGAATACGAGGTGTTTAGGCTGCTGAAGGACCATGGCAACATTATTTTAACAAGCTCAATGAGTTTTATATCACCTACCCACTCATGGTATTACCTTGTGCTCAAGTCCTCGGAGTTCCTCAAAAGACTCGTTAGATTGTGCAAGACCACAGGAAAAAATTAAAAAAAAAAAAGTGGTACATGTTCTCTGGAAGGGACTTTTGTCTAGATGTTAGAGGTTTCCAGAGCTCCCCAGCCATTCAGAAGATGACATATTACATTGATTTGGTAAATGGAGGTTTGAAAGGGAGCTGCTGAAATAAGGATGCTTAGTCACAAACAAAAGAGAGTTTTAAATATCCTGAAGTTGGATAATGTCTACACACCTGCAAGCCAAACAAATCTCATGCTGGAATTTTCAAAAGCTTTTTTGGCTAAAAGAAGAGTAGACAGCATGGCTGTCTGTTTGCACTACTCCACCTCGCACTACTCAAATAGGCAAGGAAACACTGAAAAGGAAAAACACCCTCCTCACACAAGACGGATAGTCTTCTGTTTGGCTGGAAGGTTAAGGGACTGTTTTGACTCCAGAAACCAGAATTATAAATAGGAAGAAGGATGGGTATCTCTTTACATCTCTGCACTTTTTTTTTTTTTTTTTACATACAGCATAAAAACCTAACACCGTGTAACTTCAGTGGAGGAGTGTAGATACCCGTTTTCCATTCAGCTGTCCCTTGTGCAACTTTCTAAACCAAGAAGCCTACAGGAGATTACTGACAATTTAACACTGGCATTATCCAAGGAGGAACATCAGTACTGGGCACTTACATAAGCTTCATGCCTTTGATCAAGCAAGAGTTCTTTTTCCTTCAAAAGTTTCTTCAAACTGCTCTTATCCAAACCAGTTTCTCCTGCACACATGCAGTAACGTTGCTGTGCAGAAATTAAAGCAGGAATATTTCTTTCACTCCCCATGCTCACTTTCATATTTTATAGTTTGTTCCACTTCTGTTAATGGCGGAGTGAATGCAGACTAAAATATATTAGCAGAAAAGCTTGCAGTGAATCACAGTATTTTTCACTTTTTTTCCTCACTTTCTCCTGCTAAAAAGCAGGCTTCATACTTCTACCTTCCATAACGTGTTCTGTCTCCTACTGCAGAGGGAAACCTGTATCTGAAACTGCAGGAAAGGGCAGGTGGAGGACTTGGGCTCAGAAGAGGAGATTTATTCCTAGCTTTGCAAAAAGATTCAGTCTACCTTTGAATCACTTCATCTCCCTATCCATAAAAATGAAACTAACACATTTCAACAAGGAATGAAGAGTGTTGATCTATTGGTGTCACAGACTGCCATGAGATATATGCACAGAAAGCTCCACATAGAATTTAAAACTTTATTTCTGTATCCTCTAGGGATCCTTCACACATTAAAAAGCTTAGAAGTAGTTATAATCCCTCTTCTTTCCCTTATTGCTGCATACAGCACTGAAATCCACCTATGGAGATTTTAATTATCTCCAAGGCAGAAGGACCTTCTTGCTTTTATTCTACTATTTCTTCCAACAGAAGCAAAGTATTACCGAAGCCAGATACACTACACAAGCCTTAACACTAATAACAGAGGCAGGCTTCTATCTCTGTGATTAAAGAGACCACTGTTGCTAGGGAAACTAGGTTATTCAGATCTCCTAAACCCAGCACAATGCTGCACAGGCTGCTCAGGCTCCACCTGGGAGCAAAAAGACTGGAGCAAAGAGATGAGAGCCAGGAGCTCACCTGCTCAGACACTTTCAGCTACTCTGGGTGCTGCTTTTGTAGATGGCAAATGGAGGCAGGAGCTGGGCCCAAGCAAGGGTGCTTGATTCCTTATCCAGTGTCCCAGGCAGGGTGAGCATTAAGAGGGTTCTTATTCTCCTTCTAGGGCCAGCCAGTAAGCCATCAGCAACCGAGCCATCAAAGCCAGAGTGAGATGAAACACAGGAACAACAGACAACTGCTGACAAGGGACAGCTAAGGGAAAAGGGTAGGCATACAAGGATGATGGGCTTAAACATGTACGGAGAGAGCACCAGAGAGAGGTACAGGGGACACTCTTCCACACGTATCATGCTTCTCTCACCTCACCAGCAGGCTCCCTTTCTCCTCCTCTTTGTGTAACGTGTAAGAGATCCCATCCAACAGTGAAGAGCAGCAGCTGTGACTTACAGAAACGAGCCCTCTCAGCACGTAAGAGTAGCTTTTTCTACCACAGGCCCTCCAACATTCTCTTACAGTATCCCTCTCCTGCACCAGCACAATCTTCAGGTGCAATGAACTACCCGGGGCTACACAGGCTGATCACCAATTCACACATTCTGCTAAAAAACTCAAACATTTACTTCCATCTTTGGTTCTGACAGCAATGGCCTCCCTGGCCTTGCTTTGCTCCAGCTTTTAAGAGTCTGTTTCACCACCCCTCTCCTCAGTTACTGCTTCCATCCTCTCACCTCCCTTCTCAACTCTGTCCTCTTTTCATTTTCTTTTGGTTTTCTCAAACCTAATACTATTTTTCTTTATTTTCCTGGTGCTCCCCTCTTCTAAACTGCTTCTCTCCCTCACTGCCTCAAATTCCACCTGTCTGGGGGGCAAGGAAGAATCTAACAAATTTACAGTCAGTCACAAATCCACTGGCACTCGGAGAAAGCACAGCAACACTGTTCCCTTGTCCTGTTGCCTACACCCTTCC